GCAAGAAATTTTAAGGAGGACTCTTAAAATTCCCCTTTAAGAAGAAGTCCAGTGGAACAATCCACAAAAACAAGGACTAAATAGATATCATGATGACACTAAACTCATATCTGTCAATAGTAACTCTGAACGTGAACGGGCTTAATGACCCCATCAAAAGGCGCAGGGTTTCAGACTGGATAAAAAAGCAGGACCCATCTATTTGCTGTCTACAAGAGACTCATTTTAGACAGAAGGACACCTACAGCCTGAAAATAAAAGGTTGGAGAACCATTTACCATTCGAATGGTCCTCAAAAGAAAGCAGGGGTAGCCATCCCTATATCAGATAAACTAAAATTTACCCCGAAGACTGTAGTGAGAGACGAAGAGGGACACTATATCATACTTAAAGGATCTATCCAGCAAGAGGACTTAACAATCCTCAATATATATGCCCCGAATGTGGGAGCTGCCAAATATATCAATTAATAAGCAAAGGGAAGAAATACTTAGATAATAATACACTTATACTTGGTGACTTCAATCTAGCTCTTTCTACCCTCGATAGGTCTTCTAAGCACAACATCTCCAAAGAAACGAGAGCTTTAAATGATACACTGGACCAGATGGATTTCACAGATATCTACAGAACTTTACATCCAAACTCAACTGAATATACATTCTTCTCAAGTGCACATGGAACTTTCTCCAGAATAGACCACATACTGGGTCACAAATCGGGTCTGAACCAATACCAAAAGATTGGGATCGTCCCCTGCATATTCTCAGACCATAATGCCTTGAAATTAGAACTCAATCACAAGAAGAAGTTTGGAAGGACATCAAACACGTGGAGGTTAAGGACCATCCTGCTAAAAGATAAAAGGGTCAACCAGGAAATTAAGGAAGAATTAAAAAGATTCATGTAAACTAATGAGAATGAAGATACAACCATTCAAAATCTTTGGGATGCAGCAAAAGCAGTCCTGAGGGGGAAATACATCGCAATACAAGCATCCATTCAAAAACTGGAAAGAACTCAAATATAAAAGCTAACCTTACACATAAAGGAGCTAGAGAAAAAACAGGAAATGGACCTGACACCCAGCAGAAGAAGAAAGTTAATTAAAATTCAAGCAGAACTCAACGAAATTGAGACCAGAAGAACTGTGGTACAGATCAATAGAACCAGGAGTTGGTTCTTTGAAAGAATTAATAAGATAGATAAACCATTAGCCAACCTTATTAAAAAGAAGAGAGAGAAGGCTCAAATTAATAAAATCATGAATGAGAAGGGAGAGATCACTACCAACACCAAGGAAATCCAAACGATTTTAAAAACATTATGAACAGCTCTACGCCAATAAATTAGGCAATCTAGAAGAAATGGACACATTCCTGGAAAGCCACAAACTACCAAAACTGGAACAGGAAGAAATAGAAAACCTGAACAGGCCAATAACCAGGGAGGAAATTGAAGCAGTCATCAAAGACCTCCCAAGACACAAGAGTCCAGGGCCAGATGGCTTCCCAGGGGAATTCTATCAAACGTTTAAAGAAGAAATCATACCTATTCTACTAAAGCTGTTTGGAAAGATAGAAAGAGATGGAGTACTTCCAAATTCATTCTATGAGGCCAGCATCACCTTAATTCCAAAACCAGACAAAGACCCCACCCAAAAGGAGAATTACAGACCAATATCCCTGATGAACATGGATGCAAAAATTCTCAACAAGATACTAGTCAATAGGATCCAACAACACATTAAGAAAATTATTCACCATGACCAAGTAGGATTTATCCCCGGCAAAAGGTTGATTCAACACTCGTAAAACAATCAATGTGATTCATCATATCAGCAAGAGAAAAACCAAGAACCATATGATCCTCTCATTAGATGCAGAGAAAGCATTTGACAAAATACAGCATCCATTCCTGATCAAAACTCTTCAGAGGGATCCCTGGGTGGTGCAGCGGTTTGGCGCCTGCCTTTGGCCCAGGGCGCGATCCTGGAGACCCGGGATCGAATCCCACGTCGGGCTCCCAGTGCATGGAGCCTGCTTCTCCCTCTGCCTGTGTCTCTGCCTCTCTCTCTCTGTGTGTGACTATCATAAATAAATAAAAATTAAAAAAAAAACTCTTCAGAGTGTAGGGATAGAGGGAACTTTCCTCGACATCTTAAAAGCCATCTACGAAAAGCCCACAGCAAATATCATTCTCAATGGGGAAGCACTGGGAGCCTTTCCCCTAAGATCCGGAACAAGACAGGGATGTCCACTCTCACCACTGCTATTCAACATAGTACTGGAAGTCCTAGCCTCAGCAATCAGACAACAAAAAGACATTAAAGGCATTCAAATTGGCAAAGAAGAAGTCAAACTCTCCCTCTTCGCCGATGACATGATACTCTACATAGAAAACCCAAAAGACTCCACCCCAAGATTGCTAGAACTCATACAGCAATTTGGTAGCGTGGCAGGATACAAAGTCAATGCCCAGAAATCAATGGCATTTCTATACACTAACAATGAGACTGAAGAAAGAGAAATTAAGGAGTCCATCCCATTTACAATTGCACCCAAAAGCATAAGATACCTAGGAATAAACCTAACCAAAGAGGTAAAGGATCTATACCCTAAAAACTATAGAACACTCCTGAAAGAAATTGAGGAAGCCACAAAGAGATGGAAAAATATTCCATGCTCATGGATGGGCAGAATTAATATTGTGAAAATGTCAATGTTACCCAGGGCAATTTACACGTTTAATGCAATCCCTATCAAAATACCATGGACTTTCTTCAGAGAGGTAGAACAAATTATTTTAAGATTTGTGTGGAATCAGAAAAGACCCCGAATAGCCAGGGGAATTTTAAAAAAGAAAACCATGTCTGGGGGCATCACAATGCCAGATTTCAGGTTGTACTACAAAGCTGTGGTTATCAAGACAGTGTGGTACTGGCACAAAAACAGACACATAGATCAATGGAACAGAATAGAGAACCCAGAAGTGGACCATGAACTTTATGGTCAACTAATATTCGATAAAGGAGGAAAGACTATCCACTGGAAGAAAGACAGTCTCTTCAATAAATGGTGCTGGGAAAATTGGACATCCACATGCAGAAGAATGAAACTAGACCACTCTCTTGCACCATACACAAAGATAAACTCAAAATGGATGAAAGATCTAAATGTGAGACAAGATTCCATCAAAATCCTAGAGGAGAACACAGGCAACACCCTTTTTGAACTCAGCCACAGTAACTTCTTGCAAGATACATCCAGGAAGGCAAAAGAAACAAAAGCAAAAATGAACTATTGGGACTTCATCAAGATAAGAAGCTTTTGCACAGCAAAGGATACAGTCAACAAAACTAAAAGACAACCTACAGAATGGGAGAAGATATTTGCAAATGACGTATCAGATAAAGGGCTAGTTTCCAAGATCTATAAAGAACTTCTTAAACTCAACACCAAAGAAACAAACAATCCAATCATGAAATGGGCAAAAGACATGAACAGAAATCTCACAGAGGAAGACACAGACATGGCCAACACGCACATGAGAAAATGCTCTGCATCACTTGCCATCAGGGAAATACAAATCAAAACCACAATGAGATACCACCTCACACCAGTGAGAATGGGGAAAATTAACAAGGCAGGAAACCACAAATGTTGGAGAGGATGCGGAGAAAAGGGAACACTCTTACACTGTTGGTGGGAATGTGAACTGGTGCAGCCACTCTGGAAAACTGTGTGGAGGTTCCTCAAACAGTTAAAAATAGATCTGCCCTACGACCCAGCAATTGCACTGTTGGGGATTTACCCCAAAGATTCAGATGCAATGAAACGCCAGGACACCTGCACCCCGATGTTTCTAGCAGCCATGTCCACAATAGCCAAACTGTGGAAGGAGCCTCGGTGTCCATCGAAAGATGAATGGATAAAGAAGATGTGGTTTATGTATACAATGGAATATTACTCAGCCATTAGAAACGACAAATACCCGCCATTTGCTTCAACGTGGATGGAACTGGAGGGTATTATGCTGAGTGAAGTAAGTCAATCGGAGAAGGACAAACAGTGTATGTTCTCATTCATTTGGGGAATATAAATAATAGTGAAAGGGAATAGAAGGGAAGGGAGAAGAAATGTGTGGGAATATCAGAAAGGGAGACAGAACATAAAGACTCCTAACTCTGGGAAACGAACTAGGGGTGGTGGAAGGGGAGGAGGGCAGGGGGTGGGGGTGAGTGGGTGACGGGCACTGAGGGGGACACTTGACGGGATGAGCACTGGGTGTTATTCTGTATGTTGGTAAATTGAACACCAATAAAAATTAATTTATTAAAAAAATAAAAAAATAAAATATTGAAAATGGGAAAAAATAAATAAAATGTTATTAATAAAAAAATGAAAGACATAAAAAAGACCCAAACAGTAGAAATTAATATTAGAGATAAGTATGTTGGATGGGATTAATAGATTAGACACAGTAGAAGAACAGATTAGATACTTAAAGGCATAAGAGTAGAAGCTATCTGAAATAAAGCACAGAGAAAAAAGACTGAAGAAAAGCAAAGCAAAACAATAGAGCATCAGTAAGCTGTGGGACAATATGTAATTGGACCTGGAGAAGAGCAGTGACAGCAGAAAAATATTTAAAGGAATAACGGCACCTTAAAAGTATCTGGGGACCTTTTTTCCTGTTGTGATGAAAGATAAAATTGCTTCTTAGCAGATAAAGAATGGTTTCATCATGAGCAAGCAGAAAGCTCTAATCTACAGACTGACTCTTTTGGAGTACATTATGACCTTCTACATGATAGTCTGTATTGCCTTCCTTTTAGAACCTTAATGGAAAAATTGTGATGTTTGTCTTTTATCTTTCTCTCTCTTTTTTTTTTTTGCTAGATGCAGGATACTTTATTGATGGTATGTGACAAGGTAGGGCTCCTCAAGCCCTTCCCCTTCTTCAGGATGTCTGGATAGAACCAGGAGGTTCTCAGTGTGTTAGGGGATAAATTGGGGCAAGAACTCCCCAGCAGTGGAGGGCTTCTCTCTTCTTCTTGCTCTCACTGGGGCTGGTGGTTCAAGATCCAGCACCTGGTTGCTGTAGTCAAATTCATTATCATACTGGGAAATGAGCTTGACAAAGTAGTCACTGAAAGTAATGTCAGTGGAAGCGTGGGTGTCACTGTTAAAGTTATAGGAGGCCTGGTCCTCCGTGTAGCTCAGGATCCCTTGAGGGGGTCCTCCAATCCTTGCTTCACCATCTTTGTGATGTCATCGTATGTGGCAGCTTCATCCAGGTGGCAGGTCCAATCCACAACTGACATGATGAGGGTGGGACATGGAGGGCCATGCCAGTGAGCTTCCCATTCAGTTCAGAGATGACCTTCACTCCAGCCTTGGCAGCACCATTAGAAGCAGGAATGATGTTCTGGGCAACCCCTTGGACGTCATACCACAGCTTCCTGGAGGGACCATCCACAGTCTTATGGGTGACATTGATGGCTCGGACTGGGGTCATGGGTTCCTTTATGATGCCAGAGTTGTCATGGATGACCTTGGTCAGAGGCGCCAAGCAGTTGGTGGTGCAGGAGGCATTGCTGATGATCTTGAGAGAGTTGTCATACTTCTTATGGTTCATGCCCATCACAAATAGGCGGGCATCAGCAGAAGAGACAGAGATGGTAACCCTCTTAGCCCCACCCTTCAGTTGAGCCTCAGTGTCCTCCATGGTGGTGAAGATACCAGTAGGCTCCAAAAAGTACTCAGCACTAGAACCACTCCATTTGATGTTGGTGGGATCTTGCCCCTGGAAGATAGAGATGAGTTTTCCATTGATGACAAGTTTCCTTTCTCAGCCTTGACTGTGCTGTTGAATTTGCTGTGGGTGGAATCATACTGGAAGATGCAGACCATGTAGTTGATGGCAATGAAGGGGTCATTGATGGTGACAATACCCACTTTGCCAGAATTAAAACTAGCCTTGGTGATAGGCTCCCAGTACAATCAAATTCCTTTACACCAACCTTCACCATTGTGTCTTAGGGATGTGCCTGGCACTGTATCAGAAGATGTGACTATTTAATGAGAAGGAGCAGAGAGCCTCTCTTATCTTTTTTTTTAAGTTTGTTTATTTGATAGAGTGCACAAGCAGGGGATAGTGGCAGAAGGAGAGGGAGGAGCAGGCTCCCCACTGAGCAGGAAGTCTGACACAGGGCTTGATTCCAGGACCCTGAGATCATGCTCTGAGCATGAGCCAAAGGCAGATGCCTAACCATCTGAGCTACCCAGGTGACTCCTCTCTTACCTACTCCTAAAGTGATTCCTTTCAATTCCCCACTGAATACTCCCGAAGTGTCCCTGGCTACCCAAAGAAGTCCTACAACCATTTCCTGAGCTGCTACCTGGGTACCAGGATTCTTTGATTTATCCCCTGCTTCCCTTCCCAGCCTCCCTTAATGAAATTTTGACCCACTTTGATCTGGTCGGTTCATATTAAAGGTTAATCCTTGATAATCAATCCTAGTGGGTTCCAATGATTTCATGTACAACATTAATAAGTTAGTATCACTTTCAAAAGGCCATCCAAAGGTACACTTTAATTCCTATTTATTGATTTAAAGTTAAGCTCAAATACATTTTTTATTCAACAGTAATTTCATATACTGAGTCATATACTGTGTTAGGTGCTAGGGCAGAATGAGTAAGATCTAGTTTCTGTCCTCTGGAGTCTCTCAGACCTGAAAGGTGGACTTACAAACAGATACAAAGTGATATCACATAAATACAGTAAAGGAGATAAAACAGAAGTTCTGAGTACTCGCTAGGAAACAGCTGGCATACCTGTGGCACTTAAGAGATTTTGTGATGACTCTAAAGGAGAAATAGGAATAAAACTCAGAAGGTGAAGGGAACAATATTGGTGGCTGTTTATTAAGTCTTTATGTGTCAGGCGCAAAGCCAGGTGCTTTATATACATTTGTATCACTTGGCTATCACAAAAACCTTTTTTTTTTTTAAAGAAAGACTTATTTATTTGAGGGGGAGAGGGGCAGATGGAGATTAATCTTCAAGCAGACTCCCCAGTGGGTGTGGAGCTGGACCTCGGGCTTGATTCGAGGGCCCATGAGATCATGACCTGAGCTGAAACCAAGAGTTGGATACTTAACTGACTGAACCACCAGTGTGCCCCTCAAACATTTAATATTTACATCTCACAGAATTTTTAATTATGTTCTTTCCTTATTTCCCTCTTTTTGCCACGAGGCAACAAGGTCTTAATCAAAAGGGTACTGTGAGGGGATCCCTGGGTGGTGCAGCGGTTTAGCGCCTGCCTTTGTCCCAGGGTGCGATCCTGGAGACCCGGGATCGAATCCCACGTCGGGCTCCCGGTGCATGGAGCCTGCTTCTCCCTCTGCCTATGTCTCTGCCTCTCTCTCTCTCACTGTGTGCCTATCATAAATAAATATTAAAAAAGTACCCTTTTCATTTAGTGAAAGTGCTCTACTCAGTGAATGAATGAACAAGTGAAGCTAAAGTAATGGTGGGCAGTTTAGGTACTGGGCTTTACAATTCTCTATCAAAGAAGTTATGGTTGCTTTAGAAAAATTGGAAAGTCTCAGATTAATTTGAGGCCATACCTATATGCCAGTTGATAAGTCCTACAGCCCCAGCTTTGCCCTTCACGTTTCAGTGATCATGACACCATAATGGGACAAGCCAATTGGGCTTCCACAAGAAAATTTGAAGTGAGCCACCAATATTATGAACTCTAACACAGGACAGAGCAGCACTCCCACTAGTTCTTGTGTATTTCTGGGTGCTGTGGCTCCCCTGACTAGGATCCATTTGGTATTCAGCATTTAGCTATAAATAAGTCTCAAGCCCCTATGGATGCTCTGGGCTGGGCAGCGGAGGGAGGCAGAGCAGCTGGAGAGGCCTAGAGATGTTAACCAAGAATGTGCTAACTAGGAAGGAAGGCAAGAATCCAGGCTTATTTGGATGCCCTTTTCTCTAGACCTACAGCCTAATTATGGTCTTTGGCCAGTTTTGTCTGTGGAAGAAATGGAGTGTTCCTCTTCGTAAGCCTTACCCTCTCAAATTCCGAGTCCCATAAAGAGTGTACCTAAACCTGTGTGATCCCTACCCTGCACAATGAGGTCAACAAATGGCCTGATTTAGAGTCAGGAGGTGTGGGTTCAAATTCTGACTACCATTTAGTAACTGTCTCTAACATTGTAAGATGGAGCTCTACCTCCTTCCTGCTGTTCCACATGGTTGTTGAGAGGATGAAATGAAATAATAGGTTTGGAAGTGTTTCCGTGAGTTATGAAGCCCTGTGTAAGAGAGGAGCAGGATGTGGTTTCCTGAGGGGCATTTAGACTGGGGGGCCCAGATTAAGTAAACCCTTATTTCTAAACTGCCCAGTGGGCCACAAGGTGGCAGCAGGATCCCATCTTTGCTCCTGTCTTTAGGGGGGAAAAATAGGAAAGGGTTTGGATACTGCTTTGCTCTGCTCTGCAAAGGTGAAGAGGATTTATTCCTTTACCACTGCCTACATTTCTCACTCCACAGAATCCTTCAACTCCACATAAAATAATTTCTCAAAGGACTCACATTCTTAAATCTGAATCCTGGGGCGCTTTCCCCACTGTGTAAATTAATCCAGCCCTAGCAGGTTTTGGTTAATGGTTGTAAATCTGTTCTGAGCTTTGGAGTTTCATACAACTCTTGCCCTCCTGGTATTTGACTGCTATAGACTCCAAGCTCACTTTTGTTTTCTTCCTTGAATCGGAGCTTTAGTGGCCCTGGAAAACCAGGCAATCCAACTTCTCATCACAGAAGAGGAAACTGAGGCACAGGGAAGGGAAATAATTTGTTCATGGTTAAACAGTTCATTTGAGAGTTGGATTTTTTTTTTTTTTTTTTAGGATTTTACTTATTTATTTGACAGAGCAAGCAAGCACAAGGAGGAGACTCCCTAGTGGGCAGGGAGCCAGATGTAGGCTCCATCCCAGTACCCTTGGATGAGACCTGAGCTGAAGGCAGACACTTAGCGACTGAGCTACCCAGGTGTCCCAAGAATTAGGACTTCAATCCAGCTTTCTTCCTATGGATTCAGCCCCTTTGCAAATGTGAATATTTTCAAGGTGTTTTGGGAGGCTTGAAGCAGCTTTGTTTCTCCCACCGGTGAGAATTGGTGAGAATTTCAGGGCTTTTTGAGGCAGAGGGAAACAAGAGACCTTGCTAGCATCCACTCAAAACATCTTTTGAAGCAGTTCTCCCAGACGCACCTCATTAGGCATCACCACGTATCTGAAAGGCATTAGAAACTCTCAGGGCTGCGCTCTAGGACTGCAGCAGATAATGTCTCAGGAGAGGAGAAGAATCCACCTGAAGGACACATTTTATTCTATGGGTTTTTTTTTATTAGGGTTGCCTTCCCAATTATATCCTCTGAGGCAATGATCAAATGAGACTATTCTCAGTTTACCACAGCTTATGGCTAGAGAAGGCAGGAATGAGGGGAGCCAGTCTTAAACATTTGCTGTCTTGTGCAGGGCATTCTCTGTACAGGTGAATCTTTATAAAGGTGGCAGAGTAGAAGAATAAAAGAACGTGACTTGATGGTTTGACAGACACTGGTTTAAAGCCTCACCTAGTTACTTACCTTTATTTTATTTTATTTATTTTATTTTTTTTTAGTTACTTACCTTTATAGGTAATTATTATAAGTCTCAGTTTTCTTATCTATAAAATGGGCACAATGATATCTACCTTAATAGCTATATAACCTTGGACAGATTTTTTAGACTTTGTGTACCTTGATTATATTGTCTGGTAAAAAGAAGCTCTCTTTCACAGGTTGTAAAATGTTTTTATTTCCCCCACAGGTTGTATAATGATCAATAAATTCTTATCTAGAACCATGTATGACACAGAGTAAGCAGTTGGGAAGTAGTAGCTATTGTTATTATTCTTACTACCATCATACAGGGTTGTTGTGAGTCTTTTTTTTTAAGATTTTATTTATTTATTCATGAGAGACACACAGAGACAGACAGAGAGAGAGAGAGAGAGAGAGAGAGAGAGAGAGAGACAGAGGCAGAGACACAGGCAGATGGAGAAACAGGCTCCATGCAGGGAGCCCGACATGGGACTGTATCCGGGTCTCCAGGATCACACCCTGGGCTGAAGGTGGCGCTAAACTGCTGTGCCACCGGGGCTGCCCGGTTGTTGTGAGTCTTATTTTTTATTTTTATTTTTTGTGAGTCTTAAATGAGCCAGTGTATGTAATGTTTTTAAGGAGAATAAGCACTCATTAAAATGCTAATTATTTTTATGTAATAACTGCAGTCATGTTACTAGTATTCACAGTAAATGAATCTGCTTACTTATAATCTAGGTAAAAGCGCATTATTTTTTCATTTGTTTTATGTTTATTCTTATTCTTTTTATTACTTTTTAATGATTTTATTTATTCATTAGAGACACAGAGAGAGAGGCAGAGACACAGGCAGAGGGAGAAGCAGGCTCTCTGTAGGAAGCCTGATGTGGGACTCGATCCCAGGATCCTGGGATCACACCCTGAGCTGAAGGCAGACACTCAACCACTGAGCCACCCTGGTGCCCCCTCTTGCTCTTTTATTTAGGGATAATTCTTGGCTTTTTGAATTACAGATTCATCTTCTTTTGAGTAATCTAAAGGCAACAACAGTGATTAGCATTTTT